GCAGAAAGTTAGCCTGGAGGGGATCAAGAAGATTTTCTTTATTCGGATACTTCGTGATCTAGTCATGGGCAAGCTTCTTGAGAACCTTTGACAGAAAACAGAGCAAAGCTATCGGACGAAATTCCGAGGCCAAGGAAGGGGTATTATTCTTCCTCGAGAGTATCAGTTGTGCACGCTTCCAGGCACTCGAGAACTCCCCCCCTAGCAAATAAGGAATTATATATCGATCACAGGTGTTCACCTATAATCGGACGAGCCTTTACCATAACCCCATGGAGATCCCATGAACGCCGCTTGCTTGCGATGTGAAGTGCGAAACAGCTAGGATGATGTCACTGACATCAATGGTTTTGAAGGTATAACCCCTCTCATCTGTGACATCCACATCAACCATCCCGCTGTTTATATTCTCGAGCGACGAACCGGAAACCCCAGCTAAGCGATCATTCAGTTCATCCAAGGTAAAATCATGAAGCCCATCCACACCTGACCCTGGCAAGAGGCCCAGGTTCCGCATTCTCTTCCAAATATTTTTCCCTTCTTCAAGAGCGCTAAATAAATTATTTGAAGGAAGTTAGCGCACTCTTGTTCCATGCGGACGTCGACCTTATTGCCGAGCCTAAGGGATGCTTTCAAGACATCCGCCCGCCCCGTACGCTTATAGCATCTACGAAAAGCATCCCGTATTTATCATCCCTATATATCTCATTCCCGTCGACAAGTCTCTTCAGCTCTGGACCAAACCAAGGAGCATACTTTTTCCTGAGGCATATCTTCTTCTCAGGTGCAAATGTATTAATGGCCTCAGTCAAGTTATTGCTGAGACCTTCAACAGCGCCCTCCAAATCTGACCCGACAGTGTCAGCGAATGCCTAGTCACGGTTTGTCAAAAAGTCCAAGAGTAAATCCGAGTGAATATCACGGAAATTGCGGTATAAAAAGCTCCCTGTCGCAGGAGACAGCACGCAGTCGTTAATCGCGACGTCAATAATTGCATGCTTACCGAAACGGAGCAGCGATTCATTTCTATGCTTCATAATAATGTCGCACGCATCAGTCAGCATGACATCAATCCACGTGTGAGAATCCTCCACGTGGTGAGTTAGGCCATGCTGAACCAAGCTTACCGATAACTCTCTACCCAGGCGCGCCAAGGTAAAAGCATCATTCGAGCGCGAGCTCATATCGGCATTCAGATTACCCATGATGATCTTATGGATTAAAGCATCACAAAGATCCCTTAACACATGAAAAAGATCCGAGCCCCGCTGTAGGGGCAGCCTAGGTGGACGATAGATGAGCCCAATAAGTACCGAAGAGGAGTCGCCCGTCTCAACACTGCAATTAATCTGGTATTTCCGATTTTTCAGGTCTTTGCATGGCAGATGATGTCAGTCTCTTAATTTGAAATTCTTCGCTTATGAAGAGGGTAAGCCCACCCCCATTAATGTTGCGATCGCTTCTTATTACTGAGTAGCCCGGAACCTATATGATGTGATCATGAACTACAGGTCAAATCCAAGTCTCAGCAATCCCAAAAATATGGTAGGTGGCATCCCCAGCCAGGAACAGACGAAGTCTCTCAATACGTGCCCTTAGCAACTTAATGTTACGAAACCCAGCCCGGAGAAAACCACAGCGATGCGCAACATTTTTTGTGCCTACCGCTCCAATTTACATCCTCTCCTTATTGTCTGCAGCGATCTCACAGTCCCGCTCCACGCGCTTTACCCCCACCAGCGACTCGCCCTCCGTTCCGCGCCCTGATGCAGTTGACGATCGCGATCCACCTGTCGTCTCCCATGCCTGAAGGTCCTCTGCCATCTCAAACGCGTACATTCTCTCATCTGTCTTTCATCGGATTAGTACTCTCTCGCTACTGTACCACACATACCTGAAGCCAAACCTCCTTGCACCAGGCTTCAGGGTCAGGAATGTTTTAAATTTAATTTGGGGGAGAAGTTCGTTGATAAATATTTTTCTCCGTAGCATTTTGGCAGATAACTCAGGTCCGCGGAGGTCCCTGTCCAGATCCTCAGTGGTCATGTGAGTATTGGACATACCGCGCTCAGCTTTCATTAAAGCATTCCCTCATTCCTAATCCTTGCAATGCACGAGGGCAAGACTGACCCGGCCCCCCGTACGATTTGTTGACTTCGCACCCGCAGTGCCCTCAGTGGACAGGCAACAAGGCCACGAGGCCCTAACTCCCATCATGTCCCCCTGTTACAATGAGGGAAGAATAACCCTTAGGGCCGTAAGAGCCAGCCTTCGCATACCATCAGAGGAAACGTTGGACGTCTCATTGAGGAGGCCATGGATAATGACCTCGCGATTTTCTGCATCCCCATCCTGCGGTAACAAGATTTCATCCTGCGCACCAGATCGCACAGCGTCCCCACCCGAGTCCAAAGTGGTGCCACTAGAGTCTTAAGCAGGTATTACTTTGATAAGGCCTTTGTTGTGGTTGGCTTTAGCCCTGTCAGATAACGCTTTCGTTGGGCCGCATTTTCTATTAGTGATTCGGCAAGCATACTGGACATCACCAGACCTTGCCCAAACTTTTTTAAATCTTTCTTTTAGAGAACGATTGCTTTCCAGAAGAGAACTGCATACTTTCCGCAGGTCTTTTACCATCGAGGACTGATCTCAGATCTCACCCTTTAATGCTGCGATGGGACCTAGTACTTTCTTTTTCAATCACAGGTAATGAAGTGACTTCAGAGGTGTTTCCCAGTTCTAACCACTGCTTCAGGAGAACCTTCACTTCATCGACTTGTCCCTCAATGGCATCAAAACGCTGGAATAATAGTTCCAGGGTGCTTACCGGAATCAGTATATAATTAATGCTTGGCAGCTCTAGTGTCCTTAGGAAGTCTTCATCAATGCTTGGCAGCTCTAGTGTCCTTAGAAAGTCTTCATCAATGCTCTTGTGCTCCTCATTTTGATTCCACACTTCCACGTCAATGTGGCAAGTTTTGAATCCAGGCGCCTGTGCTACGGGAACCTGTTCCGACGAGCCATTAATTTTGGCGACCATCCGTAGGTCTGCAATCGGTAGTTCTGCCGTCCGGTCCACATTAGCTAGCCGACTCAGCGGCAGAGGTGAACGTTTCAGCGATAAACCCCACCCCTTCGTAGGTACTAAGCGTACTTAGTACCTACGTACTAAGAAGCGTACTAATAGCGCTCGAGTGACGATTTACTGGTAGGCTCGTATCAATGTTCGCGCGCAGCTTGCTCACCTGATTTTTCGCTGTCGCTGAAGGTTTCCTGGCGTTCACACTACCTTCCACCGATTTTCTTGTCGCTGACTTCCGCGTTGCGGTTACCGCCGTTGTTGTTGTTGTTGCTGGCTTTAGCGAGTCGACTCGGCAGTTGTTGCAAGGCCCGTCCTTTTTATTGCCAGAACACTTACTGTGTTGAAGTTTCTGGCACTCTATGCCATTTTTCAGCTTCCGATTCGAAATTTTCTCACAGACGACATATTTAAACTTGCTCATGATGTTGGAGCAATTTGAAGTTTGGCGGGTTCCACTGAGATGAAGCTGTGGTAGTTGGCCCAAGCACAGTGATACTGAATATTGCGCCAAATTTTACGAAAATTTGCACAGATTTTTCTCACCTCTCTAGAGTAACATTTATAATTTATAACTCCCTGACTTTTTTTTAGGGGAGCCTAGCAGTTAATACTGCTGGCTTGTGGAGCCTGCGAGAGATCAGAAAATCTGCAAAATATTTCATTCACACAGGTTTAATTAATGCGGAGTTCCAGTCGTTGAAAGGGAGAGCGAAGTTACACGTTTTCATACACTACTTACCAGAGAGAAAAAGAGAGAGAGAGAGAGAGAGAGAGAGAGAGAGAGAGAAAAGTTTAACCGCGAACTAGAACAAAAATCGGCGCTCAAAATTCGAAAAGATCAATAACAAAAAAATACGTTTGCGACAATCAGCTGTCCTTATTTCCTTATGTAGTTACGAGCATTGTCTCTGTAAATGATGTCTCCAGTGATGTAAACGATGGAGGGCTGTTGTTGCGGCTGCTGCCTTTGGTGTGTCTAAAGGGTGATGAACCGCACGTCAAGCTTTGCTTCTTGTGATTGCTCGTGCTAGTTAATCAAACCTTCAATGAATACCCTCTCTGTAGGTATTCGAGCCTCCCTGAATTGCCATGCCTACTACCTTAAAGATACTGGTACTTGTCTCCTTAAGTCGCACCAACACCACGCGGTTATTATCGAGGGGAAGAACGTCTCACGCGCGGAAGAATCATGAATCAAAAGTCGCAGGCTGTTTTCTTGCCGGCTAAAACTGTACGAATTGCCTCTAGTCGCGTGTCGCTATTCCCCTTCTAATTTGTGCTCGCATCTCCTACGTGATTCTGAATTTTTCCGAGTCATTGTTCCAAACATGTTTTCTCACGCGTGTAAATTGATTCTTTTGTATTACGTAAATATATATCATATCTTATATAAATAAAATATAAAAATAATATATTCTTGCTTTTTAATTGTAACTGGACTTAAATTTGACCGGATATATCAAAAGTCAAATTATCTTCTATGACCTTCAACAACACTATATCAATGTACATCAAAGTCAGTTAGCTTTCAAATAAATAAGTGTAAGATATAATAAGGCTTACATCTCGTACGAAATCTATTGCAGCAGATTAATATGCTTACAACGCATATGAAGTCATTAATGAAAATATATCACACGGTCTTAATTATTTGGATACATGAGAATTTGTGCTGATACAATATATTCTGAAAGTGAGGGTTATCTACTTGAATTGCTTGAAATTTCTGATTGATTAGTTGATCTGATTGTTATTATCTCATTCTGATAAAAAAGAATTTACGTGAGAATTTTTGGCTGAGTGGAATGCGCTAAGATTGTAAAGAACTATCGATAGATTCACTGACCTAACAATGTGTTAGTTTGTGGGCATATATAAGAGCTGTAATATTTTTTAATTATTCTGACAATATATTTACCTTTTATTGAACTCGTATCACGTGTAATATTCTGAACCTTATGAACCATGTTGTCATATTCAGTAATACTTAAATCGTTGTCAGTATTTACAAATTCTGTATTTTTTTCTATAGCTTTAGAATATTTCTTATTTTTGAATGTCTGAAAAGAATATAATATATTACAAACAGATACATTCACGTATGTATATGACCCATTTTGCGTCAACTCGACCACTGAGCTTTCACAAAATTGAAAACATCCAATAAGTCGTACGATGGCTCAAAATTTTCGTCTTGGACAGCACTTACGATGACTCAGGAAATTTTAGATTTTCAAAATGGCAGATCTAATATTATCACCGAAAAATAGTCTCTACGAATCGATTAATAATGTATTTTGTTATAAAAATCTTATTTTTATCGTTAGTTACTTGCAAATATATTACATACAGTAGTTTCCTTTGCTGAATCAATTTTCTCAATTTAAAATGGCGGATCTAATATGACACCGCAGAATCTGGAAAACCGAGTTAAGTCGAGGAAAAATCAACGAAATCGATTTGAGATATATATTTGGGAATTTTTTAGATCGCTGAACACGAATACATTATCAGAAGTTCAAAATTTAAAATGGCGGATCTAATATGGCACCGAAAGAGCATAAATATCCAATGAAATTGATTGAAGTCTTTTAAAAGCGATTGCTAATTTCTGTACAGGGATTTCGAAAGCCGTCAAATACAAAGATATTCATAATTTAAAATGACTGTTCTAATATATAACATACCAACAAAATATTTTATAGTCAAAATATGCACACGATCGCATCTTTCCCTGAGTGAAATACTTAAGGGATCAATCAAATTAAAGAAATGGATAGCTAGCATAGTAAAAAAGTGAGTTGTAGGCAGATTCAACTTTTTACACTTTTTCTATCTCGCACTGTCTTCTAGGTGACCTAAATTGTGGTGTGATGTTCCCTTGTACATAAGCCTGGATGTCCCTTTGGATGTGTGCCTGGATGTCTCCTTGAATGTGTGCCTGGATGTCCCCTTGTATGTATTCCTGGACTGGGTTGACTTAGTAAGGTACTCCGAAAAGTTCTGCTGCTAGGCTGGTCAACTGTTAGAGTGGTCGAGTAGCAGCGATGCACCCTTTTTTTACCGAGGGCTGCAGCATAAAAGCGCTTTTGACTCTCCTACTAGTCCTAAGGGAAGGAGCCAAAAATGGCCCATAAAGTGTTGCCCCCAAACGCAAATTACTCGTGCAACAGAGGGTGAAATATGTAACGTCAGTATACAACACGATGCTAGTTGAGAGTTGTTCAATAAACAGAAAACAAGTATTACTAATCGTGTTGTGAGTTAGCCAACGGTAGGGTTCAACTTATCGTCGAACTGTACTGTAAGGGTAGGATAGAGAGTCAAACATTTATAATTCTTGTTTGCAAGGGAGTGAAGTCACATTCCTAGGCTTTGACAACTTGCTTTGTCTCGACAGATGGACAAATTAACAATTTAGAATGAAAGAAAAAAAGAAGGAAAAAACGCCCCTCAAACCAGCCGAGCGGCCTGAAGAGTCATTATATGTATATTCGTAATAAAAATATTCACTTTTAATCTTGAAAATAGAGGGCCCATTGTTCTCTTAAAAATACATAGCAGATTTTATGAAGAGTTTTATATCATAATTTTAAAAAAGTATCATCATTTGATACCTTCTTATTGTAAATGAATTAAAAGCTCTCTCCTTTTAACAGGATTGAGACTATCATACTCACAAGGGAACCACCCCAACCCTCCGCCTCCGATTTTTCTGCAATTAAGATATGTTATAGTTCGTAAAAAAAATAAAAGATCCGTATTTTTTTTATCGGCGGAAAAAGCTATCTAAGGAATGAAACCCACCCCCAAAAAACAGCCCCAAAAGCAGTTCTATAGCAATATCTTTAGTCGTAATGAATATTTTTTTATGAAACAAAAAAACACAAAATACTTATAAAAAAAGTAACAGACACACATCAATTTGGTTTCCGGGGGTTGCAACCCCTACGTTGTATAGAGGAAAAACTGTATTTTTAAGTGTATTTTTACCTTACAAAATCAAAAAATTATCTTAAAAAAATTTTTAAAAATATATTCTAGTAGAAAATGATTAAAAAAAATTGACGTGTTTCGAGGTTTCCTATTATCTATTATTTCGAGGGTGAACTATCCCTTAATGTTATTAATACAATATAAGCAGTTGTTAAATGCAGATTGTGCTGGTTATTTCATGTTCCATGACGCTCAAAAAAGCCAAACACATGTGTACTTTTGTTCTGCCGAATAAACTATTTAGAGGGTGACAACTACTCCCGAAAGTTACCCCTCAACACCATTTTATAGCGAAATTTTCGTATTTTATGCACAGTTATCGACGAAACAAATTCTAAAAAATTTTTTTTTTTAATTTCAGCTCAATATATGGATTTCATCTAAAGGGGTTGCAACCCCCTAAGTCGCCTGAAAGAAAAACTATGTTTTCAAATATTTTCTTGCAAAATTTTTTCAGAAAAAATAATGTTTATGAAATTCCGTTTAAAATCTAACACAAAAGTATACAGTATCCGTCACCAGGGGTTGCTACCCCTTCATTGGAGAGTGAACAGAGCATTCATTTGTTACCCTGATCCTCTACCACCCCGAACCCAATTTCCTTAAGCCTCGAGCTAATTACCCTGCCACGCTCTAACCCCGAACTCCTACACCCCAATTTCATCAACCCTCGAGCTGGTTACCCTGCCACGTCGTAACCCCAAATTTTTAACGCCAATTTCCTTAACCCTCGAGCTGGTTACGCTGCCACGCTCTAACTCCGAACTCCTACACCCGAATTTCATCAACCCTCGAGCTGGTTACCCTGTCCTTTCCAATTTCCTAATCCGAAACCCGGTTCTCTGTTATTCATAATCCCATTTGCGACATATTTGTAATATCTCTGAAGAAAAGGACATAGGCGGAATAATTGTAGAAGATAACGTTAAATTTATTCTATTTTTATGTTATATTTACGTTATATTAATTCGTTATTTCATCTGATATTGAGATTACATGTTTTGAATATAAAAAGACGATCCGCGCTCATTATCACTGTACATATTGTGAACAATAATGATAATCTATAAATAAATGCTGTAGACATATTAGTTTCTTGCACCATGCACATTTTATAATTGCTATTTTCTCACAAATCTCGCAGATAGGCTGTTCTTAAATTTCGAAGCAATATTCAACAGGATTGTCGAACGAATCAGGTTTTTTATCCAAGTATCCACTTTTGTACCAAACATATTTAAATACGCTTTTAAATCTAGGTGAAAATAATTGACTATGTGTGATAGACTGTAATTTTATAATATTATTCCTCTCATCTAAACTGATGTCTGATCCGAATAAAATAATGGCATCAGATATTTTTCTTACAAAGTTTTTCCAAAATCGAAAATCGAATACATCCAGTGATTGAATTGTGCCTGTCGTACCCTTAGGAATTGTCATCAATCGAAAATTTGTATTTGCTGGTGTCACTTCTCTTACAGTTCATTTACACTGTCCACTCTATGAGTCTAGTAATAAAACTGCTGTTTTCCCACAGTTAAGAAAAAATACATGTTGCAACCATGTTTGAAGTAATTCACTCGACAGCTTTCCTGATGTACTTGCTCGCAAAAATATATTAGGTGTATTGAATAGCTTTTTTAAACAATGGGTCCAAACTCTTCGTCTGTTTCTTTTAATATCATAAAAAGGGGTCATAGCAATTTACCTTCTGCAGATATTGTCGGTTAAATCGTATAACTATACGTAGCCGATGATACTGATTGTACTACTGATTCGACTGTCTTCTTACCTTTTTCGCTTAATGTTCTGCCAGTATGCATTTCTAAATTGAATCCACTTTGATCGGAATTATATATGTTACTTGCACTTTTGGTTGATAATTCTGATTTTATGAGGTTGATAAAATTTTGACAATCTAACTTTAATCTAGCCTCATTTTCAACAGATAATTTAGTCAGATATTTAGTTATTTTACGCGATACAATTTTATGCTTTTTTTTGAATAGTAATGTCCAATTGGGTGAAGCTTTAAACCAAGGCATATCTAACTCATACTTTTTTTGTAAAGCCCATCTTTTAAGATCTAAATCATGCACTGTTAACTTCCGATCTAAAGCATCTTTGAGTTGTTGTAAAGTATATTCTGAAACTTTAATCAGATTCTCTCTTTTGGTCCCGCCTGTCAAAATTTGCTGTTTCCATTTTCTCAACTGATGTTCTGACGAAACTTGTTTATATTTACTCTGGACGGAATTTAAAGATAGTTTCTTTTTCTTACCACTTTCCCAGTGTTCAACAGCTTTTCTTTTATATCCATCGTCGAGTACCGTATTTATTACCGTACAAGTAGGTACCTCGGCATAGTATAGACCATGTATTTCTTCAAATTAATCGTCAATTACTTCTGGATTAATATCAAAATCATCATCCAGGAAACATAAATTCTCACTTGTGTCACATTCAATGCCTGAATTCGTTTCAATGCTTTTTCTCAATATATCTTCAACATAAACGTGTAGCTGCTTCTCTGCATCGTTTAATATAGGTATGCTTTCTACAACCGCACTTATGTGGAATATTTTCAGTAATTTTTGAATGACGTTGTGAATTTCAATTGCCATTCTAACACAATTTTGATATTCAAAAACGTAGATGTAAAGCAAAGTTACATTACTAATTTACTGAAGTATGCTGATTGAATATGCTTATATATACTGTAAGTGAAAAAAACATGTTTTGAAGTTGGCATCACACAAACCGATATCAAATCAAGGTGCCCGAGGTTCCTCCACTGTTAGATCTTGGCTTATCACATACGTCAACGATTGCGATTTCTATCAAGAAAAAAAACAGTTGCAGTTCCAATCTTACTATTTGAACCACATGAACCGCATTCGTTGATTGTGGTTTCTATCAAGGAAAAAAACAGTTGTAGTTCCAATCTTGCTATTTGAACCACATGAACCGCATTCGTTGATTATGGTTTCCACGTCATGCCACAGTTTGATTTTGTTTTGCCACGCACATACTCGAGTATGTTTAAGGTGAAAAATAAGAG